TCACCCCTGGGCGGGAGAGGCTGCTGGAGTGAGGGGGGACAGGGACACGGAGGAAGGGAGGGGGGCAGAACTGCAGGGACGTCGGGCCCCTTTGTCCCTCCAGTCCTGGCTGTGTCCTCCACACTGGATGTGCCCCCCCCTCCCCAACCTGCTGGCAGTGTCCCCAGACTAGCAGTGTCCCCACTCCCTGACTCGCCGCCAGTGTCCCCCATCCCCTTCCTAATGGTGTAGCAGTGCCCCCCTCCCTCTCTGGCAGTGGCACCCCCCTACGCCCCGGCAGCATCCCCAAGTCTGGCAGTGTCCCCCCAGCCCTGATGCAGTGTCCCCCACTCAAGAGGTATCCCTCAACCCTATCCCCCCCCAGCAGTGTCCCCCAGTCCGGATGTATCCCCTGTCTCTGAGCCCCTGGCAGTGTCCCCCACTCAGGAAGTGTCCTCCCTTCCCTGACCCCCTGGCAGTGTTCCCCCATCTGGATGTGTCCCCCCTCCTTGACTTGCTACCACCTTCCCCCAGCCTGGCAGTGTGCCCCCAGCCCTGTCCTGTGAGCAGTCTGCCCTAGTCGGGATGTGCCCCCCTCCCTGGCCCCATGACGGTGTCCCCAAGCATGACAGTGTCCCCTGACACCCTGGCAGTGTCCACCACTTTGGATGTGTCCCCCATCTATGGCAGTGTCCCCATCTCACAGCATCCCCCCTTCCATGACCCCCTGGCAGCATCCCCCAGTCTGGCAGTGTTCCCCACCCATGACCTGCTGGCAGTGTCCCCATCTCACAGTGTCTTCCCCTTCCATGAACCCCTGGCACTGTACCCCAGTTTGGCTGGGTCCCCCAGGTCTCTGACCCCCAGCAAATGTCCCCGTCTGGCAGTGGTTCCTGTCCCCAACTGTGGCAGTGTCCCCTGACCCTGACCCTCACTGGCACTGTCCCCCAGTCTGGCAGCGTCCCTTAGCCCTGACTACCCTGGCTCTGTCCCCCAGTCTGGCCAGGTCCCCTCAGTGACCTGCCGTCAGTGTGCCCCTCTGGCAGTGTACCCCCATCCCTGCTCTCTGGCAGTGTCCCTCAGTCTGGCCAGGTCCCCCTATCTCTGACCCCCTGGCAGTGTCCCCCATGCTGGCAGTGTCCCCCAATCCCCACTCTCTGGTAGTGTCCCCCATGCAGGCAGTGTCCCCCCCCATCCCTGACCCCCCGGCAGTGTTCCCATCACCTTCGTGCTGCCCTGCCTTGGAGCCCATCTTCTTGAGGCCATACTAGATCTGTCTCCATCCCCATGAGCTGTGTGTGGCACATAGGACAAGAGAAATGCCCCCCATGTGGCACCCCACCACCCTGGTGGGACATCCACAGGTGTCCCATCCTGCCACCCCACCACCCAGATGGGTGTCCCATCATGACATGGCGTCCCTGGGCAGGACTAAGCCACTCAAAGCACCCAGGGAAGGAGCTCCCTGCAATGTCCCCAGGCCCCAGCTGCAGGACAGGTATCACTTGGGATGTGACACCCTGGAGTGGCCTTGTCCACCGGGAAGGGCGTTCCAATTGCAGCTGCAACCCAACCCCAACAACAGCATCAGGTTTCAGCCGGCTGTGCTGGGAGGAGGAGCGGGGCCACAGCCCTGCCACTGTCCCCAGGGCCACCACCCCCAGCCAAAGCCATGCTGTCCCTGCTGCCGGTGCAGAAGCTGCTGCGGCAGCTACCGGCGGGGCCAGCCGGGCGGCCGAAAAAAACGGCGGGTGGTGACACAGCCGAGGAGGTGACAAGCCCGGTGCTGGCCACTGAGGCTGGACAACCCACCTGCTACAGTGCCCTGCGAGCTGAGGAGCTGCGGCCGCTCGCCACCACCAAGCCCATGGTGGCCACCGGCACCGGGCCACCACCGCGGTAAGACCCCTCCAAGGAGCTCCCCAGGACCCTCTGGAGACGGTGGCTCGGGCCGAGCATTGTCCCACAGGTGCCACCCCCAGCTGCTGTGGGTGAATGCAGCCTTGCAGGTTCCCCCGGTTTGGTAGGGACAGAAATCCTTAGAAAAATGGATGGTGGTGACAACCAGCCTTATAAAAGGCTAGTGGTGGCATTTTCCCAGCCCAGGGAGGGGACCGGAGAAGGGCTCTGCATCGGGGCGCACTGGCACATCCAGGGCACTGTGCCCATGAGGGGACAAGGGACACAGCCAAGCTAGGCTGGTGGTCTGGATGGAGCCGGTGATGAGCACCTGCTGTCTGGGAAGTGATTCGAGGACATCCTGGGGTGACAACCACAGCCAGGATGGGACAGTGTCCTCATCCCAGCACCCAGGATGGAGTCAGAGATGGGTTCCAGCGCCACACTGGTCCCTCTGGCTCCTCTTTCACCTGGTAACCCAACTCCTGTCCCCATAAATATTGCATGATGAAGGGTTGGGTTGCCAGCCTGATGGCAGGCTAGGAGCAGTAAAAAAGACTAAAAATGGCTAATAATGGAAAATGGGATTTTTTTTCCCCATGGTGTGGTACAGGCATGATGACCTCAAGGAGATGCTCGATAGCAACAAGGATTCGCTGAAGCTGGAGGCTATGAAGAGGATCGTGGCGGTGGGTGTTGTTGCCACTGGCAGGGCCCAGTGCCAGTGCCGAGTCGTGCTGTGCTGAGCTGTGCCATGTCATGAAGTGCTGTGCCAAGCTGTGCTGTGCCGTGTCATGATGTGCTGTGCTGTGCCGTGCTGTGCCGTGTCATGATGTGCTGTGCTGTGCCGTGCCGTGCCGTGCCATGCCATGTCATGCTGTGCTGTGCTGTGTCAAGCTGTGCTGTGCTGTGCCGTGCCATGTCATGATGTGCTGTGCTTAGCTGTGCTGTGCTGTGCTGTGCCGCCTGCCCAGTGTCACACTGTTCCTTTGCCACCTAGATGATCGCCCGGGGTAAAAACGCCTCTGACCTCTTCCCAGCCGTGGTGAAAAATGTTGCCTGCAAGAACATCGAGGTGAGGAAGGTCTTGGATGGACCTGGTGACACCCATGGGTGTCCCCAGGGTCTGGTGCCTCTCCTGAAGGAGAGTTTTGGGGATGGGCTGGGTTTTGGGGGGGCTCTGAGGAGGCTCTACCACCTTCATCCATAGGTGAAGAAGCTGGTGTATGTCTACCTGGTGCGCTACGCAGAGGAGCAGCAGGACCTAGCCCTGCTCTCCATCTCCACCTTCCAGCGAGGACTCAAGGTGGGCTGGTTTGGGGACCCAGGAAGGTTCTGGGGGAGCAGTGAGCCCCCCATGGCTCCACTGCAGCCCCCCGCATATCCCCACAGGACCCCAACCAGCTGATCCGTGCCAGCGCCCTGCGGGTCCTCTCCAGCATCCGCGTGCCCATCATCGTGCCCATCATGATGTTGGCCATCAAGGAGGCTGCCTCGGACATGTCCCCGTATGTGCGCAAGACAGCCGCTCATGCCATCCCCAAGCTGTACAGGTAACAGGGGGTCAGCTGCTAAATTTTGGAGGTACCAATAAGGGGCCAGTGCTGGGGTCTCAGCTGCTTGGTGCAGGCAGGAACAGAGAGGGATGGGGGAGAGTTTGGTCCGGCCACACCTGCCCTGCTCTTCCCTCACAGCCTCGACTCGGACCAGAAGGACCAGCTCATCGAAGTGATAGAGAAGCTGCTGGCGGACAAGACCACGGTGAGCAGGGCACTGTGTCTCCCCTGCCCCTGCATCTGGGGACATCACCATCCCCACTTAGCCGGCATCCTCACGGGGATGCAGATGTCCCCACCAAATTGGTGTGTCTTCACAAGGATGCAGCCATCTGTACAGAGCTGGCATCCTTGTGGGGATGCTGCTGTCCCCCAACAAACCAACATCCTCATGGGGAGGCCACCAACCTCACCAAACCTGCATCCACACAAGGAAGCCACCATCTCCACCTAACCAGCATCCTCACAGGGATGTCACTCTCCCCGTTGAGATGGTATCCTTGCAGGGATGCAGCCATCCCTGCCAACCCAGCTTCCTCACGTGGATCCACTGTGCCCACTGATCCAGCATCCTCGCAGGGATGCAGCCATTCTCACTGAGCTGGTATCCTCATGGAGATGCCACCATCCCCACCAAGCCAGCATCATGATGAAGATGCCACCACCTTGGTGAGTCACCCCAGGCTTTCCCTCCCCAGCTGGTGGCTGGCAGTGTGGTGATGGCATTCGAGGAGGTCTGCCCGGAGCGCATCGACCTCATCCACAAGAACTACCGCAAGCTCTGCAACCTGCTCATTGATGTGGAGGAGTGGGGGCAGGTGGTCATCATCAACATGCTGACCCGCTACGCACGCACCCAGTTCCTCAGCCCCAACCAGAATGTGAGTGTGGGTGCCTCGGGGTGCCCTGAGAGCCACAGGGAGGTGGGGTGAAGGAGAGGTGCTGCTGGGGGCTGCAAGGTGTCCCACCTGCTGTTAGGAGTCCTTACTGGAGGAAAGTGCTGAGAAGGCTTTCTACGGCTCCGAGGATGAGGACGCCAAGGATGCCAAGGCAGAGGCAGCCTCACTGGCCAAGCGCAAGCCCTATGTCATGGACCCCGACCATCGCCTGCTCCTGCGCAACACCAAGCCCCTGCTGCAGAGCCGCAATGCCGCGGTGAGCCCCCTGCCCCAGCCCTTTCCATCTCTGGAGGCCACCGGCGGTGTCCATCAGCCTGGGCTCGTGACGTCCCCACTGGCCAAGGAGCCACCAGGGTGCCCAGGATGGGCATCCCCAGGGATGGGCTTCCTCTGGGTGCTGCCGGGGGGATCTTGGGGGACACAGCCATCCCTTGGGGTGTCCCCACACCCACCAGATGATGCTTGAGTGTGTCCCCACAGGTGGTGATGGCCGTGGCGCAACTTTACTTCCACTTGGCACCCAAGGCGGAGGTTGGTGTCATTGCCAAGGCGCTGGTGCGGCTCCTGCGGAGTCACAGGTCTGTGGCACCTGGGTTGTGGTGGTCTCCTACCCTGCCACCCTGGTTGATGGGACCCATGGGGAGCCCCAAGACCGGGGGAGAGACCCCAAAAAAGTCACGGTTGGGTTGGGGTGAACTGCCAAAAAAGAGGGCTTTTTTGGCTGAGCCCAGTCCAGACACATGGTGGCACCAGCCTGGTGGTGGGTCCTGCCCCATCTTCACAGGGACCTGCTGGGGAGGTCCAGCCTGCCCGCTGATGGTTGTGCCCTCTTTGTTTCCACAGTGAGGTGCAGTATGTTGTGCTGCAGAATGTGGCCACCATGTCCATCAAACGGCGGGTAAGTCTTGGACTCAGTGTGGGAGGAATTGACCCTGTTGACTCAAGAGCAGAATGAGGGCTAGCCAGCAGGGTCACCAGGGCCAGCTGCCTGCAGGTGGCCTTGCCAAAGTGGGGGACAGGGATGGCACTAAAACCGCTGGCTCTGAATGCAGGGGATGTTTGAGCCCTACCTGAAGAGCTTCTACATCCGCTCCACAGACCCCACGCAGATCAAGATCCTCAAGGTGAGCTGGAAACACCCAGCAGAACCCATCACTGGTGGCTTTGGAGCTTCATGGTACCCTTTCCTGTGGGGCAGCTGTCCTCTGTGCCCTGGGGACAGGAGGACAGCAAGGACCCTGTGCCCTGGCACCATGTCCCCATGCTGCCTCTCTCTTCCTCTTTCCCGCAGCTGGAGGTCCTCACCAACCTGGCCAATGAGACCAACATCTCCACCATCCTGCGGGAGTTTCAGGTACGCCATGGCCATACTGAGGCCACCGGGGTGGCTCTGGGTGACAGAACACCACCATTGAGGGGACAGAGGAGAGCCCCACCAGGAAGAGTAGGCTGAGGCCACCCCAACCCCACCCCAACTCCAAAGAGCCCCAATGTGTGACCACCACAAAGGGGGGTGGCCAGCACTGGCATGTGGGTGACATGTCATGTGTGTCCCCCATGCCTGTGCAGACCTACATCCGCAGCATGGACAAGGACTTTGTGGCAGCCACCATCCAAGCCATTGGGCGCTGTGCCACCAACATCGGAAAGGTGCGGGACACCTGCCTCAATGGCCTGGTCCAGCTCCTCTCCAACCGGGACGGTGAGTGCACGCGGTGGGGGTGAGATGGGGGCTCCAGCGCTCTCGGGGCAGGACCTCACTGGGGCCGGGTCTCTGCCCGCAGAGCTGGTAGTGGCCGAATCCGTGGTGGTCATCAAAAAGCTGCTGCAGATGCAGCCGGCCCAGCACAGTGAGATCATCAAGCACATGGCCAAGCTCACCGACAACATCCAGGTGGGTGGGGGCATTGCATGGCCCACAGGACCAGGGGAGTGGCAGCGGTGCCATGTGCCCGGGGGCATTTTGCAGGTGCCGATGGCACGGGCCAGCATCTTGTGGCTCATCGGTGAGTACTGTGAGCATGTGCCCAAGATCGCGCCTGATGTGCTGCGCAAGATGGCCAAGTCCTTTACCAACGAGGAGGACATCGTCAAGTTGCAGGTCATCAATCTGGCAGCTAAGCTCTACCTGACCAACTCCAAGCAGGTATTGGGGATGTGGCCCAATGACATGCCTCAGTTTCCCCACTGGGGAGGGAGAGGCTGGCCCTGAGTATGTCCTCTGGCACAGAGCAAGCTGCTGACCCAGTACGTCCTCAACTTGGCCAAGTATGACCAGAATTACGACATCCGTGACCGGGCTCGCTTCATCCGCCAGCTTATCGTGCCCACTGAGAAGAGCGGGGCCCTCAACAAGTATGCCAAGAAGCTCTTCCTGGCCCAAAAACCTGCTCCCATCTTGGAGTCCTCCTTCAAAGGTACCGACCCCGGGTCACAGGGCATGGGGACACAGGGCCAGCTGTCACCATGGTGCTGCATGGCTGTGCCTGAGCTGCTGCCACCTCTCACTTTGCTGTAGATCGGGACCATTTCCAGCTGGGCTCCTTGTCCCACCTGCTCAACACCAAGGCTGTGGGCTACCAGGAGCTGCCAGACTGGCCAGATGAAGCCCCTGACCCCTCTGTGAGGAACGTGGAGGTGCGTGGAGCACCTCAGGGTGCTCACGTGCATGGCAGGGCTAAGGTGGGGGCATCGTCTCAAGGTCGTGAAGGTGCCCAGGTGCTGCCCAGCTGCCCCATGTCCCCTCTCTGGGGCCTACACACCTGCTTGGGGACAGGAGCAGGGCAAGCACTGCTGTTTGGGCCCCCACCCATGGGTGATGGCCCCACTCCATCAACACTGTTCCAGCAGGTTCCTGAGTGGACCAAGTGCACCAGCCGGGAGAAGAGGAAGGAGAAGGTGGAGAAACCTTTCTACTCCGACTCGGAGGGCGAGTCAGGGCCCACGGAGTCAGCGGACAGTGGTGAGGACCTGGTGACACAGAAGGGCATGGGGCAGGGGCCACCACGATGGGGCATGGGGCAGGAGCTACCATGATGGGGCATCAGACAAGGGACACCATGGGGGGGCACAAGGCAGAGGCCACCATGGTGGGGCATCAGGCAGGGGACACTGCAGTGGGGACATCCCATCGTGGTGGGGACGTGGCAGGGGACATGGAGGCATGTGGTAGGGGGATATGGGGACACAGTGGGGGGAAGCAGGGATGTAGTGGGGATTCTGGGGATGCAGCAGGAAGATGCATGGTGGGCATGCAGTGGAGGGATGCGGGGATGCAGTGGGAGGGTGTGGGGATGCAGTGGGAGGATACAGGAGTGCAGTGGGAGAGATGCAGCAGGATGCAGAGGGAGGCAGTGGATGTGGAGATGCAGTAGAGGATTGAAGTGCAGTGAGGGAGGCACAGGGATGCAGCAGGAATGCAGTGGGGAGGCAACAGCAGGTGTGGGAACGCAGAGGGATGCAGTGGGAGGATGGGATGCAGTGGGATGCAGCAGGGAGTCATGGAGGGGACGCAGCAGCAGGGCTGAGCTGTGACCACCCCACAGAGCCCGAGTCTGTCAGTGAGGAGAGCGGCAGCAGCAGCAGCTCCAGCAGCTCCAGCTCTGGCAGCGAGGAGGAGGATGAAGATGAGGAGGAAGGCAGCGGGGAGCAGTCAGAGGACAAGGAGGAGGAAGAGGAGAAGAGGCTGAAGAGGAAGGAGAAGGAAGGCTCCCAGAAGGCAGCCTCAGGGAGCACGGGCAGGTACCCCCTGGGAAGGTGGACAGTCCCTGGCTAAACCCCCACCCCAGCCCCCCCTGAGCTGGGCTGTCCCTGCAGCCTCAGTGAGGAAGAGGAGGAGGAGGAGGGGGCAAAGAAGGCCAAGAAGAAGAAGGCTCCGCAGGGGAGGAAGGGCCATGCTGAGACCTCGTCAGAAGAGGCCAGTGCCTCTGAGAGCAGCTCCTCAGGCTCCGACTATGGGTCTGAGACAGAGGCCAAGCAGAGGAAGGCGGTGAGGGCCGGGCTGAGCTGGGGGGCAGTGTGGAGACCCCCAGGTCCCCCACTCACCCCCCTCCCCATCTCTCTGTCCCCACCAGGGCTGGCCCCAAGGAGATCTCCCTGCTCGACCTGGATGACTGTGAGTGGCTGCCCAGGGCAGGCAGGGGATGGCCGTTGTGGGGGTGCTGGGGAAACTGAGGCACGGGAATTCACCCCGGTGGGGTCAGGGCCCCGCAGGACCTTTGGGACTTGCTGAGCAGGGATGGGGATGGGTGGGGTGAGCGGTCCTTGTCCCCAGAGGCTGGCTGTGGGACAGGTGGCTGAGTCCCTGTTGGCGCTGTGCCCATGAGACTGTTGTGCCCACGCAGTTGTGCCTACTGGGTTGTCCCCATGCAGGTGTGCCACCAGGGCTGGCCCATGGGGCTATGCCACTGGGATTGTCCCCATGGAGCTGTGGCTCGTCAGAGCTCTGTTAACCTTTTTGTCCCCACCCCGCAGTCACCCCGCCTCCTCCCCAGCCCATCCCCTCCAGCAGCATCGTCTCCACCAGCCTGGTGACTGACCTGGAGGGCCTCACGCTCACCGATACCTCCCTGGCACCCGCCGTAAGTGTCCCCCACACCCATCCTGGGGGTTCTCGGGACTCCTGCCTCCAGCAAGGGCCGCAGGGAATGGGTGGGCAGCCCACACCGGTCCCTCGGTCCCTCGCAGCTGCTGAGCCCAGCGTTTGGTGCGGTGAGGACCTACGAGCTGCTGCACCGCATGGCGGGTGAGGGGCTCTCGGTCGAGTACTGCTTCAGCCGCCGACCCTTCCCGGGGGACCCCCACATGGTGGCCGTCCAGATCCAGATCTCCAACAACACTGATGCTGAGGTGAAGAGCCTGCGGGTCAGCGAGCCCAAGCCGCTCTCCGGCATGCGGATCCAGGAGTTCCCTGAGATTGGTATGGCACAGCATGGCACGCATGGCCATGATGCTGCGAGGGGGGACGGGGACAGGGATTGGCTGGTGGAGGGGACATTGCACACGGTGGCAGCCCTGTGGTTTCAGAGCGTCTGGCACCTGGGGACACGGTCAGCGTGGTGATGGGCATCGACTTTTGTGACTCCACCCAGGCAGCCAACTTCCAGCTGTGGTGAGCACCCGGTGGTGGGCAGCGGGCAGGAGAGGACGGGTGTCCCAGGGAATGGGGGCAGTGTGGGGTGCTCCAGGGATGGGGGACAGGAGGGCAAGACATGGGTGCCCTAGGGGATGGGGAAAGTGGGATGGGCACTGACATCCCCTCCAAAGGACATGGAGCAGCAGGGGACAAGTGACAGCCAGACAGAGCATGGGGTACCCCAGGGGACAAGGGACAGCAGGACACAGTATGGGGTGCCCTAGAGCACTGAAGACAGCCAGACAGGCACCAACATCCTTCCAGAGGATGGAGAATGGGGTGCCCCAGGGGACCTCCAGGGGATTGGGGACACCAGGATAGACACCAGAGTCCTTCCAGGGAAGGGGGGACAGTGAGGTGGGCATGGGGTGGTCAGGGGATAGCAGGAAAGGCACTGGGCTCCCTGCAGGGGACAGGGAGGAGGAGCAGCCCTAGGTCCAGCCTGACAGGTTCCTCCTATTCCTGAGTCTTTTGTGCCTCAGTTTCCCTCCAGCCCATGGCAGGGACAGGAAGTGGGACACTGGGGGGGACACACACACATTTTGAGCATGTGCCCCCCTCACCCACCTGTCTCCCCAGCACCCACACCCGCCACTTCTACGTCTCCATCCAGCCACCCGTGGGGGAGCTCATGGCCCCTGTCTTCATGAGCGAGAACGAGTTCAAGAAGGAGCAGGGTGAGTGGGGGACAGGGACGGGGACAGGGCGGTGCATGGATACCCACTACCCTAGTGCCAATGCTCACCCCCCATTTTGTCCCCTCTGCCGCCCTTGCCGTGGCCCTAGAGCACCTCGCGCGGCTGGGCGAGGGTAAGTGGCCGCTCGGCAGGCCCCTAGACTAGCTCCACTCCCCTCATCCCCCTCCTGTGCCCCGCAGCCTGTGGGTTGGGGTGACCATCCTGGCGCCAGTGGGGCCCCACCAGGTCTCTGCACAGAGCGGAGGGCTCATGCCACCCCTGGCACTTCCAGCCACCATGTCTGGTGAGAGATGGGGACACCCTGTCCTCACGTCCCTGTGCTCCTGAAACAGCACCCTGGTCCTGTGGATGGGGGTCTGTGCTGAGCAGCAGGTGCTCAGTGTCCTGCAGCACCCATCCCCATCACTGCTCATCACTGGAGGAGCCCATTCCGAGGGATGTGGCTGCTGCCATCCGGCCAGGATGCAGGGACAAGCCCAGGAAGGGTTGTGGAAGAAAGATTTTCCTGAATCCATCTCTGCTGGGCTGGAGAGGAGCAATCAGGGCAGCCAGTTCAGGATATTGTGGGTGACCCAAATGCAGGGTGCTGGCAGCTGGAGGGGCTTGGTTTGGGGATGGAAAAACAAGTCCCAGCAGGGACGTGGCGGCTGGGTGCGTGGTCAGAGACAGGCAGGTTCCTCTGCTGCCTGCTCCAGGGAAGCTGATGGGCATGAGCGAGATCACGGAGAAGGTGACACTGCCTGAGAAATGCCGGAGCGACCACGCCATCGTCCAGCAAGTGACCTCGGCTGCCAATGTGGGCCGTGTGCCCTGTGGTGCCGACAACGAGTACAGGTAGCCAGACCCCTACAGCAGGGCCAGGCAGGTGCTGTGTCACCTCTTCATTCCCACCTGAATCACAGTGGGAACACTTGAGGACAAGGAGCCTGTGTGAACCCACATGTGACGGTGGCCATTGGTGGCAGATGCCTCCCTGGTCCCTGCTGGATCATCCTGGGGGACGGGAGGGTGACATGAGGACATCTCGCCCTGAAGCCCCATGTTTGCCCGTGGCCAGGTTCGCAGCCAAGACAGTGACAAGCGGGAGCCTGGTGCTCATCACCCTGGAGCGCCGGGAGGGTGCTGCGGCCCAGCTGATCGTCAACAGCGAGAAGATGGTTATTGGCACCATGCTGGTGAAGGACATCGTCCAGGCCCTGGCGCAGTGACAGCTGGGTCCCACCACACCCGCAGACCCGCCCTCACACTCCACTCCCCAAAACGCTCTCTGCCCCGATTTCTGCTGGGTTATTCCCTGCCCCAATCCCCAGACGGGCAGCAGGCAGCGACCCCTGGGCCAGCTTCACCACTGGGAGGAAAGGGCGGGACAGGGTGGATGGGCTGCAGGGCGACGTCACGCTCAGAGGGGCGCCAGGGGCTCCAGCGCCCTGAGGAACACAGCGTGCCTCCAGCCCTTCGCCACTGTCACCTAGTGTAACCCCTATTTATTATGTCCAGGATCTCCCAATAAAGCTCTTCCTGAACCTGCACCCTTCCCCTCCTCTGCTCTATGTGCACAGTGGCCAGATCAGCCCCAAACTGCCCCCACGTTGGGCTCTGCCAGCCTCTCCACAGCAACATCAGGGGACCAGCCACCCCTTAGGCAACCAGGAATGGCACTCCTTGAATCAGCTGCCTGCTGGCTCTTGGAGAAAACTCGGCACTGACAGGGTGGGGGTAAAGCTCCCTGGGACTTGGAAGAGGGCAGGAAGTCTTCCATCCTGACTAGGGATCTGAGGAGTCCTGGGAGGTTTCCAGCTATTTATTCAAAGCAGAATTGCTCGTGCTTTTACCACAGAAATACCTGCTACGTCAGGGCCAGGTCTATTTTGCAGTGTCACTGGAGGGATTCCTGGGGCCAGCTCTGGGAGGCTTTTCATCTCCAAACTGGAAAAAAAAAAAAAACAAAAACACAAGGAAATTTGACTCTTTATCAAGATCTCTCCTCCCAGCACGGGTTGGGTGGGATTTAAGAGAGCCCTGGCTCTCCCCTTCCAAGGCTGCAGCCCAGCAGGGAGCCAGGCCCAGCAGTGGAGGGAGAGGATGAGCAAAGGGCGAACGGGAAGGTCTGAACCCCGAATTCCTTCAACTCCAACCCCTCCTGCTGCTGCAAAAAGGGTGAGGAGCTTTCTGCTTTTTTTCCAGCACATGGGTAGGAGATGGGATAAAATCACCTCTGTGTTTTTTGACGGGTAAGGAAACGCTGGCCAGAGCTGCAGCACCACCAACCACTGGGCATCAAGCGTTTGCTCCTGCAGGGAAAACCCATTTCCACAAGGACCCGAGACTGGCCCCGGGCCTTGGCTGAGGCCGGGAGGCGGCTGCCATACCAGTCCATTCCTGAAGGAGGGAATGGGCTGTTTTAACCCCTTGGGGGTCCCGCTCCCCTCACACGGGGCACAGCGAGCACTCCGGCCTGCGCACAGAGAGGTGCCCGCGCTGAGACGGCCCGAGAGGGGGCCAAGCCGCTGCCAGGCGTCGTGAGGAGCTGGAGAGGCGCCGCTCAGAGCGGGAAACGGCGGGCACCCCCCACCCC